AAGACTGCGTGCTATCACCGACGCTGTTTCTTCTGCATATTGTGACGCCTCATAATTATTATTATTAAATAATAATTAAATTCATTATACAGACATTTAAAAATGTCTTAGAAATTATAATTTAAACAATAAAATGCAAATAATAAGCATAAAGTTCAAAAATATCCATTTGGAATATTGAATATTATAATATTAGTAAACGCATAAAATGTCTCTAAAAATCTCTAAATTTATTAAAAACCTGCTTAAAATGTTCCAAATGTATCAAATCATATAAATACAAGGCGATTATATTGCAATAACAAAGATAAATAACATTTGTAATATAATAGAAAAAATGGATTAAAATTTTCTAAGTTGATGAAGGTGTTCGTGTAATAATTGGAAAATTTCTAGGTTAATGAACGTGTTCTTGTAATGTTCCCTTATATTGGGGCGTTGTCGGAGACACATACCCAAGGTTGTACATATATATGGGGTGGTCGGCTGACCGACTGCTAGTACTAAGGTTACACAATGACTAGTCCTATATTAGGGACTTAACATAGTAAGGTCTGACGAACCAAAGCATTAATATAGAAGGTCTCTATGATGCATAAGCATTATGATAGCAGAGTTATGACTTGAAGTCCCATATGAATAAGACATACAGTAGTATGGTCTATGAAATAAAGCAAATATGTGGAAGGTCTCAAATATGTAAAAGCATTATATTGAAAGAAATGGGACTTGAAAAGGATTATTATAGTGGCGTGTAGGTTGCTTCGCAGCCTCTGAGACCGAGGTAAACTTGGACTCACTAACCGATGTGTCCTAGACATATCATCTTAGTGCCGGTGGTAAGCGGGTTTGTTGTAGCAATACGACTTGCCCGTGAACATCGCACACCCCTACTGGTTGAGGGCGGCGTCTTAGCGCATAGCGTTATGATACGTCGGCTATCTTTCGGATTAGGGTGAGTGTGTTTGGTAGTACTTTTAAGTGCAGCAAGCATACTCAACTTCATGTCTTAGTGCAATAGCGCTATGATACGTGGAGTTTTGGCTACTGACGTCTTAGTACCGTACTACTATGATACGTTGGTAGTATTTTTAGTTAAAAACATTATCAAATTTTGTTACCAAAGTCGATAGGGATCATGTGGGTGTGTTGTGAGGGGGCGCCATCCGTATGATAGTTGCATTGATGCTTACTGCTACTTGCAGTATTGTGTCTTGTGATGGATCTGCGGGTGTGCTGCACCTGATTCGATGCATCTTGTGGTTCTGGTCGATGGAGGTATGCGGGTGGTGATATCTGCTGGGACTGTATGGGGGACCTTGGGATGGTGTAAGCCCGACGATAGTCGTATTGATGCTTGTTGCATTCTGTAGCATTGCGTCTCTACGATGGTTGTTTGGCGGGTCGCTATTCTCAATGGCGCTCTCTGCGTCTTGGTTTGACTCACAACCTAAGTAGCTTTGCCCAAGTCGGGTCCCTTCATTGCGGGGCTGCAGACTGTCTGCCCTCCATGATGTTTTATATAACAACTTAATAATATATCTCTATAAAGTTCCCACCTTTGAGAGATTGAAGGCAACTTGTTGGTGGGTGAGACAAACATGATCGAAAAATGCATATACTCAACGTCAGTGACACAAACCCTTTCTGATGGCGAATTATTAATATTATCTTATAACTGCCTATTGGCTATATCTGCCATTGTATTGGTTGGTGGAGCATATGTGTTGACCTCATGCGGGTGGTAGCTGGAGGGAGAATCTGAGGAGGCTCTCAAGGCTGCGGCCGAAAGCCGCGCAACGTGGGACCCCATTCCCTTGAGGTGAGCGGTAGACTCATGACACGCTCTGCGGCCAATTGGCCGTGCTGACCATGCAATTGGTGGTGATGCCTTACACTTACATCACGTCTACAGGAACGGCGGTCTGGCAGGTGGTGGCGCTCACGGAAGGCTTTTTATGGTCAGTGTGCCTATTGTTGCCTAACCCGTGTGACGTACATTCACTGTGGCTGGATTTGATCGTATTCTGTATGGCGTTTACACGCATTGACATGCGCGACTTCGGTCGATGTTTGTGCTTACACACTATCAAGGGGCCCAGTCCTCTTTTACTGGTTCGCCAGTTATTTTGCTGTGGACTACGGTCCAGTTCCCAACTTTGCGTACCCTTCGGGGGGAGCGCATTAAAATGGTTGGCGCTCACCGTGCGCGGCGTGTGTGGGGCCGTGTACCTCCTCCACATTTTTTTTAAAATGTGGGAGAGCGAAGCCCTTGTAACTGGTATTTGATATAAATATTGTGAACCTTTTCCAAGCGGGAAGGGATTAATTAATAAGGAATTGACTGTTGTGAACCAGATACAAGTGGAATAGGGACAATTTATTGTTCTTAACCTTTTTGAGCTCTGTCTTCGTGAACGGGGTTCTTTAGCTTATAAGACTCTACCAACAGCTTTCGATTGCTCTCGTGAATATTCATTCTTCCAAGATACACCTAAAAGAACTATGTTACTATACAAACACAACGTAAAAAAGGGTCCTAACTAAGACGATCACGCCATAAATTTATTAAACGGCCTATATTTAAACCTTTAGAAAGATCAAGTTATATTGGTCACGTAAATTAGATGTATTTATATATCTTACAGATATAGATTCTTAAGAAATACAAGTATAAGTGGGATATAGTAGAAAAGAAAAAAGATGGGGGGGGGGGGTTCGTTACAATTTGGTGCCGTGACCAGGATAGAGGTTAAATTTTAAATAGGAGGCCGGTAATATAAAATTATGAGGTAGGCTATATGCCTACAATTTGTTGTCCGTGAAATGGAGAGGTGTCTTGGAGAGTGGTGTTTGCTGGGGGTGGTTGAGAGTCTGGGGGTGGGGCTTAAATATTAAAATTGAGTAATAATATAGGAGGTGTGTGCATAACGGAGCGAAATAATAAAAGTGAAATAAGTGGAAAGACTCAATTAAACTAAGTGAAGGACACAACAGGTGTAAAAAAAAAAAAAAAAAAAAAAAAAAAAAAAAAAAAAAAAAAAAAAAAACTGCAATACTATATATTATAAAGTGAAATAAGTGGAAAAACTCAATTAAAGTAAGTGAAGGACACAAAAAGTGTAAAAAAAAAAAAAAAAAAAAAAACAAGTGGTAATAAAAATTAAAAATGGCTAAACATAAGAAAAAATCAACCTCAATTAAGGCTAAGCCTAAAGATGAGATGAAAATGCTTCAGAAATTAATTAAGAATGCAGTGAAAACCTTTGAGGTTAAAATAAAGGATCTTGAGGAAAAATTTATTAACCAAACGAAAGATTACCAAATTAAAATAAATCAAGGAGAGGTGTCCGGGGCGAGCACCTCTCATGTAAATGATCCTAGACAAAATATTGTATATAATGTACATAATGTAACAATAGAAAAGCCGAAATTTGGAAATGGAAATACTCATCCAGTATCATTTTTGGAAGATCTCACCAATTATTTAAAGAAAGTTCCATCTAATGGTCTCGAAATTTCGATAGCACAAGAGTGCTTAGTAGGTGAAGCCAAGTGTTGGGCTCGCATTAATAATGTGCGTTGGACAACTTTTGATGATTTTAAAGCTGACTTCCTTAGAGTGTTTTGGGGTGAAGAAGAACAAAATAAAGTAAAGAGATTCCTTGTGCAAAATAAATGGAATAGAAGTACACACCCCACCATGGTTGGTTATTTTCTTTATGTTGTTGAGAAGGCACAAACATTATCATATCCGATACCTGAAAAACAATTAGTAACTGATGTCATCAGACATTATCCTAAAACTGTGCAGCAATTATGGAGAATAGCTAAAATTGAGACAATAATAGACACGACAGATTTCTTAAGAAACTTAGATGACATCGACAAACAAGATGAAGGTCGTGAACCTTACTATAATGAGAAAAGGAGGAAGTTTAATAATAATACGGAGCAAAAACATAAAGAAATACAACAATCATACAAAACATGGCGTAAACCCGAAGAGGGAAAAAAGAAGGTTAATGAAGTACATGAAATACATTTCACTAATGACCAACCTGATGTTTCGGCTCATGAGCCAAATTTAGAGCTGTAGAGGTTGAACTAGTTCCCGATTCGACCCCTTACAATGTAAAAGGGAACAAAGCATTAAATATGTTATTAAAACTGGGTTGGCGACCTGGTCAAACATTGGGTAAAAACAATAGAGGGTTGCGAAAACCTATTACTTTAAAAGCAAATTTTAACAGAGAAGGCCTTGGTTAAAAGCCAGGTCGGACTTGCCCATAACGGAGTTATTCGTGCAAACCGTCTTCGAGGAAGACGAAGATAAATATCAAAGGGAATTTATAGGGAATATGAGATCTGAAATTAAAGTTTCAATATTTGACAAAGAAATAGACGCGCTCCTCGACACTGGGAGCGATGTTACATGCATTTCAGAAAGTTTATATTTACAAATTAAAGATAATAATCGTAAAATATCAATAATGCCAGTTAAAGCAATGCAAATAAAAGGTGCTGTTGGGCAGCGCAGCACAAAAATACAACAGATAATCATATTGCCTATAAAGATAGATGAAGTAGTCTTTGAAACACAAACTTTAATTGTAGGTAATTTAATAAGACCTTTAATATTAGGCTTTGACTGGCTCAAGAGAAATAAAATATTGATTGATTTGAGAAATACTACTGTTGGAATAGAATTTAAAGTGAAACACAAAGACTACTTTATACCTTTCAAATATAATAATAAATTTGTATTACATAATAACTGCATCAAACAATGTACCGATGATCCCTTAATAAATATAAAAATAGGATCTACATTGGAGGTCTCTGAAAGGGCAAAACTTAGTAAGGTTTTGGAAAAGCATAAGAATATGTTATCGAGCAAATTGGGAAGAGCCAATTGCTATGAGCATAAAATTGAAATGGTCGATGATGAACCTATAGTTACTAGGTCCTATCCCATTCCATATGCATATAGAGCGAAAATGGAAGAAAAGTTAAATGAAATGGAACAAGCTGGTATCATCACAAGGACATCAACGCCTTACAGTAGTCCATTGACATTCACTCTTAAAAAAGACGGCTCAATTAGAGTTCTGCTTGATGCCAGAAGCATAAATAAGAAAATGGTTGCAGAAACAGAGAAACCACCTATACAATTAGATGTTTTGAATTCATTTCACGGAGCGAATTATATCACTACCATTGACTTAAATAATGCATATTTTCAAATTCCGATAAATAAAGATGGTAGAAAATATACTGGATTTACATTCAATGGAAAGTCATATGTATATAATGTTTTGCCGCAAGGATTAAAAACATCAGTAGGAAGCTTTAGCAGAGCTATGAATTTAATATTAGGACCAGAAGTCCAAGAATTTTGTGTGAACTATTTAGATGATCTAGCCATTATTACAACAGGAACGTTAGATAAACATTTGCAGCACATTGATATTGTTTTAAGTAAATTGAACAAAGCTGGCTTAACGTGTAACTTGCAGAAATGTGAATTTATTTGTAAAGAAATTAAAATGCTGGGTTTTATAATTTCAACAGAAGGCATAAAGACAGATCCCGATAAGATTCGAGCGATCCAAGAGTTTCCAGCACCTAAAAAGATTAAACAATTAAGGGCCTTTTTAGGTCTATGCAATTTTTATAGAAGGTTTATACCAAATTACAGCGAGAGCATAATACCGCTCTGTGAATTATTTAAAAAGGGACGAAAGTTCCAATGGAGCGGTAAAGAACAGAAGGCATTTGATTTTATAAAACAACAATTTATTAATACAATACAATTGCATCATCCAGACTTTAATAAGCCGTATTATTTACAAACAGATTGTTCCGGTGTGGGTATGGCCGGAGTACTATATCAGATAGATGATAATAATGAAATGAGAATTTCAGGCTATCATAGTAAAGCCTTAAAAGGCCCCGAATTAAATTGGTCTGTTACTGAACAAGAGTTTTATGCTGTAATAAGCTGCCTAAAGAAATTTGAAACATATTTGAGGGGCAGTAAAGTAATAATACTAACTGATCATAAAGCATTATTGTTTATTAATAATATGAAGTTATTCAATGATGTGCTATCACGTTATCCTCCTGATGGCGATTTAATACAAGAGGATAAAAATAATAGTTTAGAAATTGCTTACACAGAGAGCGAACCGAATATTGAGTTGATAGAAAAATTAAAATCCTTATCAGTATATCAATTACAAGATTCAGAGTCGTTGGCTATTATTGAAAAGTTAAAGACATTAAATACTTCCATAATAAAACAAAACAATAAATTTAAAAGGTATAGTTTGAAAAATGATGTATTATATTACAAAACGAATTTACAAGAAGTAATATATTTACCTAAAGCATTGAGACAAGATATTATAAATCAAGTGCATGTCGAAATGGGTCATCAAGGACCCTATAAGTTATCTAAGAAAAGCAATATAACATATGTGGGTCCCTGAAAATCTATAATAACAGAAAACATTGGCGATATAGTCATGGCAGACTTATATGGACCGCTTGTATCAGGTACCTTTGGTTACACTTTCATATTTGTCATTCAAGATTCATTCAGTAAATTTATCAAATTATATCCTTTAAAACAGTTACAGCAAAGTCTGTTGTAACAAAAGTAAAGCATTTTGTTGAGATTATAAAGCCCAAGGCAATAATGACAGATAATGGAAAACAGTTCGTAAGTAATCACTGGAAACAATCAATGAGTGAATTAAATATAAAGCCAATATATACCACAGTTAGAAATCCTAGACCAAATACAACAGAGCGAGTAAATAAAGAGTTGAGCAGATTATTTAGGACGCTTTGTCATACTAACCACAAAGATTGGGCGTTAATATTGCCGAAATTAGAAGAATTGTATAATAATTCTTATCACAATAGTACAGGCTTCACGCCTTGTGAGATTCTTTATGGTGAGTCTAATGAGATGTCTTTTGACAAAGTACTTTCCAAAAGTAAAGACAAACATAATGTCGAACAAATTAGACAACAAGTGCGTAAAAATTTAAAAGAGGCAAGTCGAATAAGAAACACAAAATTTGATAAGCGAAATAGATTAATAAAATATAATATTGGTGACTTAGTAAAAATTTCAAGATCTAGTAGATCAGACGCTGATAATAAAGTTATGAGTAAGTTCAATTTAGCATATGAAGGACCTTATGTAATAGCAGCCGTACCATTTGACAATGTATATACCTTAACAAATCCAGAGACAAACGAAATTAGAGGAATTTTCAATGCTATTCACTTATTAAAATATTTTAAATAATAATTTCTTTTGTATAAATTAGAGTAATTAAATAAATATTGTAACATAAAAGGGTTTTGTGGGTGGCCCATGGAAATAATTGTTTAAGTTAAAGGTCTAAAATTATTAAAGTTATGAGCAAGAGATTTGATATATGATAGAGTAACGTTATTAATATATAATGAAGAGTTGTAAATATAGATCGCAAGATAATTTTGTAATCATTTTTATTAAATAAATATGGGAGTTGGGTCAGGGCGAATGGCTCAAACACATTTATCCTATGTGGTATCGAACTGACCTCAACAAATATCCAACTGGATTGTATGCACATAAAGTGTGACACTATCGAAATAATGTTTCAAAGATTTAAAGATAAATTAATAAAATAAGAAATCGACAATTGACTGCAAACTTTATTAACAACACGATATACAATAACTTGAATTATGGTGTTATCACATTGTGATAATTGTGGTTGAAGGGGTGTTGGTGGCGGCCATTCTCTGGGGCAGGGGGATTTGATAACATATGCCGTATTGTAACAGATTAAAAGAGGAAAGAACAGATATATAAATAATTATTTGAGTGTAGTGTATATGCCCTCAAAATATAAAATTTTATATTAACGACTCCACTATGTGGATCATTAACATAAAATTTGGGGGTGGATTGTGACGCCTCATAATTATTATTATTAAATAATAATTAAATTCATTATACAGACATTTAAAAATGTCTTAGAAATTATAATTTAAACAATAAAATGCAAATAATAAGCATAAAGTTCAAAAATATCCATTTGGAATATTGAATATTATAATATTAGTAAACGCATAAAATGTCTCTAAAAATCTCTAAATTTATTAAAAACCTGCTTAAAATGTTCCAAATGTATCAAATCATATAAATACAAGGCGATTATATTGCAATAACAAAGATAAATAACATTTGTAATATAATAGAAAAAATGGATTAAAATTTTCTAAGTTGATGAAGGTGTTCGTGTAATAATTGGAAAATTTCTAGGTTAATGAACGTGTTCTTGTAATGTTCCCTTATATTGGGGCGTTGTCGGAGACACATACCCAAGGTTGTACATATATATGGGGTGGTCGGCTGACCGACTGCTAGTACTAAGGTTACACAATGACTAGTCCTATATTAGGGACTTAACATAGTAAGGTCTGACGAACCAAAGCATTAATATAGAAGGTCTCTATGATGCATAAGCATTATGATAGCAGAGTTATGACTTGAAGTCCCATATGAATAAGACATACAGTAGTATGGTCTATGAAATAAAGCAAATATGTGGAAGGTCTCAAATATGTAAAAGCATTATATTGAAAGAAATGGGACTTGAAAAGGATTATTATAGTGGCGTGTAGGTTGCTTCGCAGCCTCTGAGACCGAGGTAAACTTGGACTCACTAACCGATGTGTCCTAGACATATCATCTTAGTGCCGGTGGTAAGCGGGTTTGTTGTAGCAATACGACTTGCCCGTGAACATCGCACACCCCTACTGGTTGAGGGCGGCGTCTTAGCGCATAGCGTTATGATACGTCGGCTATCTTTCGGATTAGGGTGAGTGTGTTTGGTAGTACTTTTAAGTGCAGCAAGCATACTCAACTTCATGTCTTAGTGCAATAGCGCTATGATACGTGGAGTTTTGGCTACTGACGTCTTAGTACCGTACTACTATGATACGTTGGTAGTATTTTTAGTTAAAAACATTATCAAATTTTGTTACCAAAGTCGATAGGGATCATGTGGGTGTGTTGTGAGGGGGCGCCATCCGTATGATAGTTGCATTGATGCTTACTGCTACTTGCAGTATTGTGTCTTGTGATGGATCTGCGGGTGTGCTGCACCTGATTCGATGCATCTTGTGGTTCTGGTCGATGGAGGTATGCGGGTGGTGATATCTGCTGGGACTGTATGGGGGACCTTGGGATGGTGTAAGCCCGACGATAGTCGTATTGATGCTTGTTGCATTCTGTAGCATTGCGTCTCTACGATGGTTGTTTGGCGGGTCGCTATTCTCAATGGCGCTCTCTGCGTCTTGGTTTGACTCACAACCTAAGTAGCTTTGCCCAAGTCGGGTCCCTTCATTGCGGGGCTGCAGACTGTCTGCCCTCCATGATGTTTTATATAACAACTTAATAATATATCTCTATAAAGTTCCCACCTTTGAGAGATTGAAGGCAACTTGTTGGTGGGTGAGACAAACATGATCGAAAAATGCATATACTCAACGTCAGTGACACAAACCCTTTCTGATGGCGAATTATTAATATTATCTTATAACTGCCTATTGGCTATATCTGCCATTGTATTGGTTGGTGGAGCATATGTGTTGACCTCATGCGGGTGGTAGCTGGAGGGAGAATCTGAGGAGGCTCTCAAGGCTGCGGCCGAAAGCCGCGCAACGTGGGACCCCATTCCCTTGAGGTGAGCGGTAGACTCATGACACGCTCTGCGGCCAATTGGCCGTGCTGACCATGCAATTGGTGGTGATGCCTTACACTTACATCACGTCTACAGGAACGGCGGTCTGGCAGGTGGTGGCGCTCACGGAAGGCTTTTTATGGTCAGTGTGCCTATTGTTGCCTAACCCGTGTGACGTACATTCACTGTGGCTGGATTTGATCGTATTCTGTATGGCGTTTACACGCATTGACATGCGCGACTTCGGTCGATGTTTGTGCTTACACACTATCAAGGGGCCCAGTCCTCTTTTACTGGTTCGCCAGTTATTTTGCTGTGGACTACGGTCCAGTTCCCAACTTTGCGTACCCTTCGGGGGGAGCGCATTAAAATGGTTGGCGCTCACCGTGCGCGGCGTGTGTGGGGCCGTGTACCTCCTCCACATTTTTTTTAAAATGTGGGAGAGCGAAGCCCTTGTAACTGGTATTTGATATAAATATTGTGAACCTTTTCCAAGCGGGAAGGGATTAATTAATAAGGAATTGACTGTTGTGAACCAGATACAAGTGGAATAGGGACAATTTATTGTTCTTAACCTTTTTGAGCTCTGTCTTCGTGAACGGGGTTCTTTAGCTTATAAGACTCTACCAACAGCTTTCGATTGCTCTCGTGAATATTCATTCTTCCAAGATACACCTAAAAGAACTATGTTACTATACAAACACAACGTAAAAAAGGGTCCTAACTAAGACGATCACGCCATAAATTTATTAAACGGCCTATATTTAAACCTTTAGAAAGATCAAGTTATATTGGTCACGTAAATTAGATGTATTTATATATCTTACAGATATAGATTCTTAAGAAATACAAGTATAAGTGGGATATAGTAGAAAAGAAAAAAGATGGGGGGGGGGGTTCGTTACAATTTGGTGCCGTGACCAGGATAGAGGTTAAATTTTAAATAGGAGGCCGGTAATATAAAATTATGAGGTAGGCTATATGCCTACAATTTGTTGTCCGTGAAATGGAGAGGTGTCTTGGAGAGTGGTGTTTGCTGGGGGTGGTTGAGAGTCTGGGGGTGGGGCTTAAATATTAAAATTGAGTAATAATATAGGAGGTGTGTGCATAACGGAGCGAAATAATAAAAGTGAAATAAGTGGAAAGACTCAATTAAACTAAGTGAAGGACACAACAGGTGTAAAAAAAAAAAAAAAAAAAAAAAAAAAAAAAAAAAAAAAAAAAAAAAAAAAACTGCAATACTATATATTATAAAGTGAAATAAGTGGAAAAACTCAATTAAAGTAAGTGAAGGACACAAAAAGTGTAAAAAAAAAAAAAAAAAAACAAGTGGTAATAAAAATTAAAAATGGCTAAACATAAGAAAAAATCAACCTCAATTAAGGCTAAGCCTAAAGATGAGATGAAAATGCTTCAGAAATTAATTAAGAATGCAGTGAAAACCTTTGAGGTTAAAATAAAGGATCTTGAGGAAAAATTTATTAACCAAACGAAAGATTACCAAATTAAAATAAATCAAGGAGAGGTGTCCGGGGCGAGCACCTCTCATGTAAATGATCCTAGACAAAATATTGTATATAATGTACATAATGTAACAATAGAAAAGCCGAAATTTGGAAATGGAAATACTCATCCAGTATCATTTTTGGAAGATCTCACCAATTATTTAAAGAAAGTTCCATCTAATGGTCTCGAAATTTCGATAGCACAAGAGTGCTTAGTAGGTGAAGCCAAGTGTTGGGCTCGCATTAATAATGTGCGTTGGACAACTTTTGATGATTTTAAAGCTGACTTCCTTAGAGTGTTTTGGGGTGAAGAAGAACAAAATAAAGTAAAGAGATTCCTTGTGCAAAATAAATGGAATAGAAGTACACACCCCACCATGGTTGGTTATTTTCTTTATGTTGTTGAGAAGGCACAAACATTATCATATCCGATACCTGAAAAACAATTAGTAACTGATGTCATCAGACATTATCCTAAAACTGTGCAGCAATTATGGAGAATAGCTAAAATTGAGACAATAATAGACACGACAGATTTCTTAAGAAACTTAGATGACATCGACAAACAAGATGAAGGTCGTGAACCTTACTATAATGAGAAAAGGAGGAAGTTTAATAATAATACGGAGCAAAAACATAAAGAAATACAACAATCATACAAAACATGGCGTAAACCCGAAGAGGGAAAAAAGAAGGTTAATGAAGTACATGAAATACATTTCACTAATGACCAACCTGATGTTTCGGCTCATGAGCCAAATTTAGAGCTGTAGAGGTTGAACTAGTTCCCGATTCGACCCCTTACAATGTAAAAGGGAACAAAGCATTAAATATGTTATTAAAACTGGGTTGGCGACCTGGTCAAACATTGGGTAAAAACAATAGAGGGTTGCGAAAACCTATTACTTTAAAAGCAAATTTTAACAGAGAAGGCCTTGGTTAAAAGCCAGGTCGGACTTGCCCATAACGGAGTTATTCGTGCAAACCGTCTTCGAGGAAGACGAAGATAAATATCAAAGGGAATTTATAGGGAATATGAGATCTGAAATTAAAGTTTCAATATT